CCCTACTTATTTCAACCTTCTGTCATCTTTGGATGATGCGGTTGAGCAGAAATGGTGCTGGGCCATCTTGTCTTGACTGTGATTTTGCCAAGAAGAGTTGGACCAGATGATCCTTGAGGTCCTTTCCAACCCAGTATTCTGTGATTCTATGAATTTATAACCTGGAGGCAGGAAGCTGTGCCAGGGTTTGGAGTAGAAAAGTGAGGGTGATAGGACAAGAGGAAATGGCCTCAAGTTGCACCAAGGGCAGTTGAGATGGGATGTGAGGAAGAATTTCTTTGCTGAAAGGGTTCTGAGGCATTGGAAGGGGTTGCCCAGGGCAGTGGTGGAGTCCCCATCCCTGGAGGGATTGAAGAGTCGTGTAGACACAGTGCTGAGGGACATGGGTTAGTCGGGGACTTGTCAGTGTTGGGTTCATGATTGGACTCAATGATCTTAAAGGTCTTTTCCAATTGAGGCAATTCTGGGGCTCTGTGGGAAAAGGCTGCAGCTGGTCAGAGCTGGTAACCAGGGAGGGAGACCACGGAGAGAAAAAAGCAAGGCAAAAATGGATCAATATTCCCCTTCTGCTCACAGTGTCTCATACCCTGCCCGTGTTTCTGGCAGCAATGTGTGGCACAGGCCTGTTATCTCCAGGCACTGCATGACTAATTATGAAGACGTGGTTGTGATTAGAACACTTCTTTGATTTCTTGATAAAGAACCTTTTTCCCTAAAACCAATGCTGTCACACCCTCACGTGAGGAAGCTGCAACAGGGAGACTTTTACTTCCTTAACAAAGTTGTCCAACTAAGATACCTTTCAGTAACAGATTTGGTCTATAATAGGAATTTGCATCAATTATTCATAACGAGTTGTGAAGTTATCAGTTTAAGCCACACATGTAAAGCTGTCAGTCTTTTTAATGAAAGGATCTTGGAGAGCTGTTTTGAAACCAGCTCCTCGTTAACATGGAAGGAGTTTTTAATTCTCAGTTCAAGGTAGCAGAAATGCAGAGCGATCACTTTTGATTTACTATATTTTTACGTAGGTCACTTGAGTGATGTGTTTGTGTCTAATTAAGTCTTGTGTTTTATTTCATAATCTTACGATACAAAGTTGAAACTGAGACACTCAAAATGCTGGGACTCCCCGAAACCTGGTTTGAAAACTCTCTGAGATGTGTGAATCAAACTGTGGTGAGGTAGGTAAATTTCTAGGGATCAAAGTTCTGCTTGTCCAGATGGTTAGTGTTCAAATTAAAACCTTGGCTGCCAAATTTCCACTCCCTTGACCTTTCCTGATCCACACAGATTTTACTGGCAAATCCATGTGCCTTGTCAATGACTAAAATGGCTTCTTGTTTCCATGGCTCGCGTTCTCCGCAGATTAAATCCGAAATAGCATGCCAACATCACCTGCTTTATTTAATCAGTTAATTTGTTTCTTGAAGGAGAACTTGTCAGCAGATGACTGTGGCAGTGATTGCGTTGCTGCTTGCTGCCTGAGCTGTGATAACTCCACATTTACCTTCCACCCTGCTGAAAGGGTGGAATAAAAACACTTTAACTACCACCTCTGCGACCAGTGGTGGCTTAAATAGAAAAGATTTTCCTTTTCTTTCTGACCTTTCCAAGCTAAATTGTATTTCTCTGGAATGCAATGATGACTTTACACGGAGGACAGTCTGTGTTACTCCTAAAGCCCCTCTCCTGCATCCACCATCTCGGGGGGTTTTTGGCACAGGGAACCTCTACTGCTTTTGAAACGAGGAGAAATACAGTTAAGTCTGAATTTTTTTGGTAGGTCAGAAGAACTTGGTTAAGAGCGTGTAGATGGAGACACTTCTATCTTTACTGTGCTGGTTAAATCTTAGCATAGAGTCACCAGCAAGTCTGGATGTTACCAGTGTAGTCTGGGGGTACCTGTACTCCCAGTAGCCGCTAGAAACAAGTGACAAAGTTCTCGGAATCTTTGCAGAATGCAGCTTTAAAAAAAAAATGGCATTAAAAGAAAGTAATTACTAGGTTGACTTGTCAAGCCTCATCATTTTAGTTGCCTATCTTTGTTTCGATGGGTATGTATCACAAAACAGTCAACATTTGTCTTGTTCCCCAGTAACGCTGCCCGCTGAGCCAGAAATTAAGTCACAACATTGACATAGATTATCACAGAATCATAGAATGGTTTGGGTTGGAAGGGACCTTAAAGCTCATCCAGTCCCAACCCCCCTGCCAGCAGCAGGGACACCTTCCACTAGACCAGGTTGCTCAAAGCCTCATCCAGCCTGGCCTTCAACACTTCCAGGGAGGAGCAGCCACAGCTTCTCTGGCCAACCTGGGACACTGTCTCCCCACCCTCACACCAAAGAATTTCTTCCTCACATCTCATCTCAATCTCCCCTCTGCCAGTTCAGAGATTTTTAATGTTCAACACCTAGAGCGTTTCAACAAAGATTCTGGTTTCAACGCAGATTTCAACAAAAATTCTTATATTTAATGTTTTCATATTAGTCAAAAAGATTTTGGTGAGAAAGTAGGGCTCTCAAGTGAAGTTAATCACTTGGTTTTTTGGAGGCCGTATCTCACGCATTGGGCAAGTTTTCTAAACGGAACGAGTTGAAGCAGTCGCATCGAGATGTTTCTCCAGGGCCAGTTGCTGCTGTTTGAGTAATGAGAGTTGAGTTAATCATTCTGCTGTGACTTGTGGAGTGAGCTGATCTCTCAATACATACCAGAAGCTTTCCAGATCCTGCATTAAAGCAGCATTTCCCTAACGTGAAGGATCTGCTCTAATCTCCCTCCCGGCTGCGGTGGTCTGGAATGCTGGAATTGCGCAAACTCTCTGCCCCCGCCAGTCCCCGGAAGAAACAGGACTTTTGTTCCAGTGCAATGCACATTTCCACTTGAACCCCAGCCCGACTTGCCCAAAGCAAACACAGTTCTGAAAACTACTCTGTACTTATTTGTTTTTGGAAATCAGCTTTGGATCTTACATATGCCTTATCTGAATTCAGATCATTTTCTGGCTGATAGAATACACACAGCACTGAAACACCAAAGCTTTTCTTCAAAAGAAAAGCCTCTAAAAGGGCAAGCTGGAGGATAATTGTATTGATTTTGCTCAACGGCTTTGGCACAGTACTTTTCATTGCACTACCTTTGTTTCTTTGACTTGGGTGCTTTGGATTAGGGGACAAGCAATGCCTAAGGCAAGGCACACTGTCATTACAAGCCTGATTTTGTTCTCCATCCCTAGCCCCAAGTGTAGCTCAGACACTGTTTTAAAATCTGTGGGATAGAGCTGTCAGCAAGATAAGAGACTTTCTGCGAGGTTTAATGGGAGCTGGTTGAACACATCTTGAAAATAACAGGAACTAGGAACACTCTTCCACTTTGTAGCACGCTGTTGGGAGAGATGAGTTATTCTGTTGGACTAGTAGTTGGAATAAAAATTGATTTTAGACTGAGTTAAAGAACCAACCGTTTGCCAAGAATGACAACCTCAGAGCAAAGTGTTAAAAACAAAAAAATCTGCAAGTTTAAGCTGCTCCAGGAAGAAAAATGTTATGATGTCCTGCACGTAGGGCTTGTGTTCTTCAATGGTGGTCTGGCTAAAGTGGGGCATCTCACTGGGGAAGTGTGTTAGATGGCTCACGAGGAGACCCCCTCTCCTCCTGCAAGGCAAGAGGAGGATGGTAAGTGACATAACAGGCCTGAATTCTTCCTTACTATTAAGTTTCCTCCACCTGGAGGAGCAGACAGAGACATTTTGTCATCTGGATGAAGCTGATTGTGACTGGTGTCATGGAGCCTATAGAACTTCTCAAGAGAAGAGGTTATTGTAGTAACAAATCGGGTTGTTTGTGTTGTAACAAATCAGGTTATGGTGGACTCAGTTTGCAAATGTTCTTCAGTGTCATAAATCATAAAAAATAAATGTGAGTATTACTGCCAGATTTTAAGTTTTGAAGGTTTTTAGGAGAAAGAAATTTCCTTCCAAATATCTGACTGCTGGATTTTTTTTGTTTGTTTTTACAGATCCAGCCCTATGAGAAGATAAAGGCCAGAGGACTGCCCGATAACATTGCTTCTGTCTTGAACAAGCTGGTGGTCGTGAAACTAAATGGTGGCTTGGGCACAAGCATGGGTTGTAAAGGCCCCAAAAGTCTTATCGGGGTGCGGAACGAGAACACCTTTTTGGATCTGACGTTTTGTTCAGCAGATTGAGGTAACTTTGGGTGGGCTTTTCTTTCTATGTTAGAGAAACCAGACACACTGAGCTTTTCCTGTATGACCTTTTACAAGAGATCACTGTGGAAGCTTGCCAAAAGGAAGAGGGAGAGAAATGAGGTCTGGTCACAGCAGTGGAGAATTGCTGTAGAAAGAACAGGTGTAAAAGGGACGGAGCCATCGGCGACTGAACTCTATCCGCCCCCCACGTGTTAGCACAAGTGTTAATTCAACCTGTGAGCACCAACCCGGACAGGGGTGATTGTGTCCAGGAACAAGCAATCCAGTGGTACAGCTGGTCTGGGGTAGCTGACTCCTGGGCTTCTTTCCGACTCCTCCAGGTGCCAGTCAAAGTTTAGCTTTTTAAAATTGAATTTTTTTTTTTTTTTTTTAATGTGCATTAGAACAAAGCTCCTCACAGCAGCTCTGAGATCCTTGTTGAATTCAAACTCTCATGCTGGAAGTGATTGCTGGCATTTTCCTCTGAAGAAAGGAAAGGAAAATAACAGCTGCTGGTGTTGAGAGAGGACGTTTCACCTTATGTTTTTAATGCAGAATATTCCTTTTACAGCAGATAATTAAGATGGTTGTTAGAGTAGAAAATCGAGTCTGCCTGTTCCAGAGTTTCTGGAGCTCCAACAGTTTTTGCCTCAGCATCATGTTTACGTGGAGTGACTCTCCCATGTACATTAGACAGTTCTGTAGCAGACTCACATTATTTTATATCCCACTAATGCAGTCCTAATCCTTTGGTGCTGCGGGTGCTTTCTCAAAAGGGTCACCAGCGATTGCTGACCCCAGCCGCTCACAGCAGAGGAGGGTGATCTGATACACAAAGCTTTGAACTCACTGAAGTATCTCTTTTTTTTCTGCACACTCTATTTTTGATGGAACACTATCATGTTCTCTGATTTTTTTGCCCTTGCTGTCCATGTGGAAATGCTCTTGTGTATCTCAGCTCCCCTTTACAGATGCCCAAATAATTTAACACTGTGACATTTCATTCTGTACTCTTGATACCATTGTCCATCTCGTAGCCCCACAAAAGGCTCTGAAGTGCTTGGAGTGCAGAGAAGGTTTTGAAACCTTACCCAGGCAGACTTCAGTAATTTGGGGGAAAAACATGCCTTTTGTAATCAACAATAGCCTAAAATTTAAAATAATCATTTTGTGGTGTTGTGCTTTTAAAATTTTTGAATCTCAGTGTGGATTTAAAAACAAAAGATTAATAATATATTAATTAACATGGACTTTATCTTTACTACGTACAAGGATTTGTCTCCCTTTACCTGATTTATTATCCATTCTGTTGGTGTAAGCATCTCTTTCTTATCTCATGCATTTATTATTTCCAGTCTGTTTTATCTAATAATTTATTTCTCCTAAAATCTTAGAGTTAAAGCTAAAAATACATGCTGAATTTCCCATTTCTTTCCCATCTCAGCATTTAAACAAATCCTACAACACCGATGTTCCTCTTGTCCTCATGAATTCCTTCAACACTGATGACGACACCAAGAAAATCTTGCAGAAATACAGTCACAGCCATGTGAAGATATACACTTTTAATCAAAGCAGGTATAAAAACCCACCAACTTCTCCACTTGGGGTGAAAGGAAACACTAACTTGCCTTTCTCCATATTCCAGATGGTGTAGGTTTTTAGTTTGAGATGCTGAGGTAGCAAGTGTCCCATGTTCAGTTTCTGTTTTAAGCCGCTTTGTAAGACTGAAGCTCAGTCATAGAATCAGAGACTGGTTTGGATTGGAAGGGACCTTAAAGCTCATCCAGTTCCAACCCCCCTGCCAGCAGCAGGGACACCTTCCACTAGACCAGGTTGCTCAAAGCCTCATCCAACCTGGCCGCGAACACTTCCAGGGAGGAGCAGCCACAGCTTCTCTGGCCAACCTGGGACACTGTCTCACCATCCTCACACCAAATAATTTCTTCCTCGCATCTCATCTCCATCTCCCCTCTTCCACTTTCAAGCCATCACCCCTTGTTCTGTCACTCCCTGCCCTTGGCCAAAGTCCCTCCCCAGCCTTCCTGGAGCCCCTTCAGGTACTGGGAGGCCACTATAAGATCTCCCTGGAGCCTTCTCCAGGCAGGAGAGGGATGTGAGGGGAACACAGTTTCTAAGAAAATGATGAGTAATGGTTTACTGGATGCTGGACACTTGATTCCTGAGTTTGGTTTTAGGGCACCTGGGCTCTGGAGGGAGACAGAGTGTGGCTTCCTTGTCAAGAACAAAAACTCATCTTAGGTGGCTGATGATGTCAGAGGCGTGCTTGGCGTGCTCTGAACCTGTGTGTCAGAGGAACGCTGTTTTACAGCAGGCTTGGAGAACTGTGGCTTCAAATTCTTGACTGAGAGATTGCATTCTATCTCCTCTCAGAGATAGCTCAGGATTTGGATGGGTCATTCAATTCCAAATACTTAGGCTAGCCTAGGAAGCAGAGCTTCAAAAGCTGTATGAAAAAGCACATGGAGCTGTCGCTTGACCTCTTGTATTTTGTTTCTCTTTATGTTAGTCCCACACTGGTGAGAACTTAACAAAACCCATCGTCTTTCCAGGTATCCTAGAATTAACAAGGAAACTCTGCTGCCAATAGCCAAGGACGTGTCTTACTCAGGAGAGAACACGGAGTGCTGGTATCCCCCAGGCCATGGAGACATCTACGCCAGTTTCTATAACTCTGGGCTGCTGGATAACCTTATCGGAGAGGGGAAGGAGTATATTTTTGTATCCAATATAGATAACTTGGGTGCCACTGTGGACCTTTACATTCTTAATCATCTTATGAACCCACCCAACGGAAAACGCTGTGAATTTGTCATGGAAGTCACAAACAAAACCAGGGCAGATGTGAAGGTAAAGAGTTGTGTCCGAACGCCTGGCGGGGTGGTGACAGTCTCAGCCCCTTGTCTCTTCTGTATGCATGAATTCAGACATGCATTAAATCTCCTTATAGCTATTTCAGGCACCATTTAACACATCAGCTGTGATCTAATTTGAGATGCACAAAATCAGCAAGTTTATGAAGTTGTAATTCATGCAACAAATTGGATCTAAGTTCTGGGCGAACAGCCTGGACTTGAGTGACTGCTGAAAACACAAGTGATGATTGCTGCAGATCGCAACCTTCTCCAAACTGGGGAGAAGTTTGGGGCTGGTGGAAGCACAGGGGTGGGATACAGCGGTTGGACCTGGCTGAAAACTGCCTCAGTGACTTGGGCAGTTCTGATCTGCTCCTCCCCAGCTGCTTGATGTTGTACAAAGTCCTGGTTTGATGACTTGTCAGATGTTTAGGGCACATATCAAATATTTCTAGCATGAAATAATTTGTCACCTAACTGTGCTTTGACTCTGTTCTTTTAAATAGGAGGATGAGGAGAAAATGTGATTTTTCTCTGTATTCAGTAGATACTGAGAAAGCTCTGACTTAGGCCTATAAAACCACTAAGAACACAGTTGAGGTTGTTTGTTTGAAGACCCACTGGTTTCTCCAGCGAATACAGAACGATTAGATTTAATTTAGATTTTGCTCTGCAATCCAAAGTGCTGCTGGAGGTAATTTTTTAACAACCGCAGCATTTGCAAAAGATTCTCAACAACTTTAATGAAAAGAATTAAGTGTCTTGGAGCGTTGAAACACGATCGTTTGACAGTTCTGACTGTACTTTAAACAACCTCTATAATTAGTAACCTGGTAGCTGAACACAAGCAACATGTTTTTTTTCACTGAAGTTCAACTTTAAATGCCAACGAAACAGCGCGTCTGTTTGGGGTGAGGGGAGGGTTCCTCTGGCATCTCATGACCAGGATTTAAAATGTCTCCTTTGACCCTCGCAGGGTGGCACGCTGACGCAGTATGAAAACAAACTGAGGCTGGTGGAGATAGCTCAGGTGCCAAAAGCCCACGTGGATGAATTCAAATCCGTGTCAAAATTCAAAATATTCAATACTAACAATTTGTGGATTGCTCTGTCTGCGATTAAAAGGCTGCAAGAGAAAAACGCCATTGACATGGAGATCATCGTTAACCCAAAGGTAATCGGCCAGGAAGGTTGTACAGGAAACAGACTCACAAGTTCAATGTTTGTTTCCAGGTAACTAAAGCACCTGCTGCCTCCCAACAGGAGCTGGCCTGTCGGTAAATGCAGAGCTCTGACTGAAGCTCATCGCGAGTCCTGAGCGCCTGTTACCTGCTGGTTGTGCTTACCTGAGTTTTCTCTTCCAGACTCTGGATGGAGGCTTGAATGTTATCCAGCTGGAGACCGCAGTGGGTGCTGCTATTAAGAGTTTTGAGAACTCTCTGGGGATAAACGTACCTCGTAGTCGTTTTCTGCCTGTGAAGACCACATCGGATCTCTTGCTCGTGATGTCCAATCTGTACAGCCTTAATGCTGGATCTTTAACCATGAGTGAGAAGCGTGAATTTCCAACAGTGCCTCTTGTCAAGCTGGGAAGTTCTTTCACAAAGGTAAACTCCTATAATTATACTTTGTTTGTTTTGTTTTTTTTTTATCTCTTTGAATAAAATACAGTCCAGAGCAATAAATAAGTTAAAAGTGAGGTTTACTGTATTGCCCTCTGCCCATCTGGGCATTCCCTTTTGCTCTTGGTAAAGAACTGTCAGAGTACAAACTACCCAGCGTGTGTGTAACATCGTACTGCTGCTGGGTGCTCCTTTACCCTCTCAGCTGAGGAAAGGGAAGGTGAATTGGGTTGTGTGTGCCCTCTAGAGCTCCCCCAGCTTTGGTGGGATACTGCCCTTACTGTTTCTCATAGTCACTGCTGACAGAAATGACAATACCCCGTTGCTTTTAAAGCAGGAACTCTTATATTTGTCAGATGTAGATTTCTAGAAAGTTCCCTGAAAGGAGTTTTCGAGAAGCTCCTGCACTTGTCTTAATCCAGAGATGGATTTCAGAGTCACAGACTGGTTTGGGTTGGAAGGGACATCTCAAGGCCATCATCTACTCCAACACCCCTGCAGTGAGCAGGGACATCTTCAGATTTAAAACTGTCTCTATCCTTTCCTCTCTCCAAAAGGTTCAAGATTACCTGCGGAGGTTTGAAAGTATTCCAGATATGCTGGAGCTGGATCATCTCACGGTTTCAGGTGATGTTACATTTGGGAAGAATGTTTCATTAAAGGTGAGTGTGTAATTGCGATGCTCCTGCAATAAACATGACTGAGCTCTGCTCCTTGGGAATTGATCCTGCCTAAGCCAGAGCTTTTACACACAGTCCATGGAAGCAATCCCAGGAATTAAATACCTGCCCCAAGGATTGCAGTGGCCAAGATGGAACAGTGACCCTTACGAATGAGCACAGGCTGTTACCGCTATAGCTGCTTCTCTGTACAGTCCCCGTGAGAGCTGAGGTTTGTCTGTGAATCTTGAACACTCAGACCTCCTGACTCTGAGTTGGAAACAAAGCTGCTGTCCCTGTCCTTTCACTCCCACCGCACCTCCCAGGCTGGCATCACGGCCACAGGCTGCTTCTCCTCAGTTTGGGGTTCTTATTAGTAAACATCAGAGCTGAGCAAATTAGTATCTCTCTCAAATTCTTCCTCAGAACCTGGCCAATCCTAGCAGAATCTTCTTATGGTCCTGGAACACTCCAGACCAGTTTAGCTGCTGACACAGAGCAGTGCAAGGTGGAAGCTGCAACAACCAGTGCTTGAAGCAGCTTGGGCTGTTACCAGCCTGCACGCTTGCAGGCGTGTCTGCTCCCAGCTCCTTCGGTGCAGGTCCTTGCCACGTAGCTGCAATGGGGAGCTGTGCTGTGAGGTACTGACATGGGTGGCATTTTTCCACCTAAAAGCAAGCAGAGATGCTAAGAGTGCCTGCAGCAAGCGTGTATCTTCAAAGAAGGCATCAGTGCTGCTTGTAAGCTGATAGTATCTACTATGCTGGTAATTAGAGCGTTCCTTATCTGGCTTGGTTAAAACCTTTGTTGTGGGGGCAAAGAAAAGTCTGTGCAAAAACCATCTGGCTGAAATGCATCCAGGATCTGACCCAAGTGGTCCTCCAAACACTACTCTCACTCATTCCAAATCAACAGGTAATAAATATAAAGTTCCTAATCACTTGGGGTTTTTTTTTTGTCTTTTCTGTAAATCCAGGGAACAGTTATCATCATCGCAAACCACGGCGACAGAATCGACATCCCAGCTGGAGCTCTACTAGAGAACAAAATCGTATCTGGCAACCTCCGGATCCTGGACCACTGAGTGGGTGAAAGGGCACGGTCGGTTCTGTAGGCTGCTGTGCTCCACCAGCACCTCCTAATGAAAGACCCTTTGAAGCATTAGAGATTTAAGTACAGAGAGGGCCTATGCTTTGTCATCTTCACAGTACCCTGCAGTATTAATTGAAAATTAATTTCTCTTGCTTATCTTTTTTTTAAGCAGCCACATTAGCGCAATGGATGTGCGTAAGTAACGCTTCAGTCCTGAAAGAGATTCTGTAACTCAGTTAATATAACCTTGAAGTGCAATACTGTTTGTCTTGAGATGGACAGATCTTTGAGAAGAAGTTAAGAGGCTCGCCTCTAACACTTAGTAGTTTTGAATTGCTTGTAACTGCAGAAATAAAGCTGTGAAGCAATACGTGGGGGACAACGCCGTTAGCTACTCCTGTGACTTTTTATGAAGTAGAAGTTGAAAAAAAAAAAAAACAAACCCCAAAACAAAAAAAACAATCCCCAAAGTTTCACTACTGCTACCTGGGCTGTGAGAACCCTTTGATTCATGTGCTAGAGCCCTCTCCAACCCCCCACAAACTGCAAGCGGGATGTCCTGTCCCCACTGTACGTGGAGATACTGGGGTAAGGCTGTCGATGCCTCCACTGCTGTCTGGCCAGAGCGGGAATCGCTGGTGTTCCAAACTTGCCCAAAGAATTTAATACTTGAGGGGAGAAAAAAAAAAAAGCCTCAGTATCCACAGGTGGTGTTTGCTTTTTCACATCCCATTTAAGACTGGATCTCCTGTTACTATCTTAATCCTTGATCTGCCCTCTTTTTTGGATCATGTTGACTACACCCATGTTCATACTGTCACAGCCATGTATGTTAATTTATCTTCTCTGGAGTAATTTCTAAATTTGTACAGGAATCGGAAATCCCTGTCCCAATCACTATTGAGTTCTTAAATGTTTCTCTTGTATTTACACGCAGACAACTTTTATTTTATAAGCTTAGTATAACACTGGTATGTATCATTAAAGAAGTTGGTCTTTAAAAAAAACAACTGTGATTTTATAGCTTTATTTTGACTGACAATTAACGACACCTGTTATGCTAACAGAGAAGCATGCCTGTCTGAAGCAACCATAGGCACACACGCACGCAACCGGAGACCAATTCCATCGTACAGCATCGTCACGGGGTTAGGCACTCGGACCACGGGGAGGTAAAGAGGTGTGAGGTGAAATACACAGGCACTTTTACTTAGTACTGGCAGCATCCAGTCTTAAAAGGTAGTATTTAAAAAACTCTTCAATAAATTAATTTCAGTTGCACCTTCCTTAATGGTGCAACCTGTTAGAAGCAGCCTAAAAACTTTTTATAATGCTTCCTGCCCTGTTTTCTGCGTCCTCCTCTGACTTCATACGTGTGGTGTTTGTGTCTTTAGAGCTGTGGAGTAACTGGCAAAATCCTGAAACCCTCCTCCCTGTCCTTCCTGCCACAGGGAACCATCCCCACACCAGCCTTTTTACCACCTCCAAATTCCACTGTTAGGTTGTCACTGCTGACGAGGATCCTGTCACAACTCTCTCCTGCAGGTAACAGCTTCAGTGAGCTGACAACTGGTTAGAAAAATCCTCTTCAGGTGGCAGTTTAGAGCCCAGCTGTGAGAAATCCCCTGGAACAGGACTGCTCCCTAACAAATCTGAATCCTATATGCAAGCAATCAAAAGACATTTATTTATATAAAGTTCTGTAAAAAAATAAATTTTAGAACAGCATAAGTTTCATCGAGAAAAAACATTTTCTACAGAGTTCCAACTGCAAGATTATTTTTTTTTTTTTTTTATATATATATATTGTACCATCATTAAATAAGGTGGGACACCACGGGAATTTCATTGCACTAGAAGAAATGCAAAGCATCTTTTTTTTTTTAATATAAAGATATACAGAGCATTCTAGACAACTACAGCTGTGTTACAGCTATGTGTTCTTTTGGATTTGGTCCAAAGAAACCTGAGTCTGTTTCCAGAGAGAATGACAAAAAAAAAACACAACCCAAAAACAAATAAACCAAAAAAAAAACCCCCAAACCATTGCACAGACAGCTGCTCACTTGTTTCTTGCCGAAGGACACGGAACGGGTCTCTCCCTGCAGCTCACTCTCAGGCTGGTTTCCCCGACTATCAATAGCGTCCTTGGACTCCTCTCTTTAAGCATTCACCTCACAGTCGCCGCGCCGCGCAGAAGAAAGTCGGTCTTGTTGTCAGAGCCAAGTGACTTTGCTCCCAGTGGATTATCACCTCTTCTGCTCCCAAATTTCAGCCATGTTTAGGTCTAAGTTGTTAAGGCCTTTCAGAGCTTGAAGGTTTCCAGTGTAAAAAGCTACATCTGAAGTAACCAGGCTGCGGTGACAGAGACAACAAGATTAACACCTGAACCTACCCCATTCCTCTGCAAGGTTCAAAAAACCACCCAGGGTTTGTTGGTGGCGCTTGGGGACACAGTTACAACTCAGATGTTTGCAGTATCAGTTCAACACTCAACGCTACCGAGGTGGCTGATGTTACAGGAGTGACTGTGCATGATCACTGCCGGGTGTGAAACCCGTTAGAGAAAAGGGAGATCAAAGGCCAAGTTCAGAAAACCCAGCAGGAACTGGGCATCTAAACCTTCTATTCTCCTGCTGTAATCCCAGGCTTTGCTTGACTTCAACCTCTGGTTCCAACTGCAACTTAAAATTATTGCAATATCAGCTTCTGTATCCGAGAAATGTAATGAAAAAGCAACCAAAGAGCCATATTGTTTGTAAATACAGAGTTAAAACCCCTCTTAGGTTGTTGAAACATGGCAGGGGATGACAGAAACATGAGCATGGTGTTTCTAGTTAGAAAGCAAGATAAAAGCATAAAAGTTGTGTTTTCACAGTAAAAAATTAACTGGGATTCACAGACCTGGATTTTTACTATTATTACAGAAACAAGGAGTTTAAAATGGGATGAGGATCAGAAAAGCACATGAAAAACTTGGTCAATGAAGACTGCTGGAACAGCAGCAAGTGAAATCCAGTGTCTGTTTTTTCCCTTCTCAAACAGCCCTGATGCCACTCCCAGAGATCCCCCACCCCGGTGGGAAACGCTCCCCGGATACACCACACGTACATTAAACCATTTCAGAGAGATAAACTCTTCCACGGAGCCCAGGGATGAATAAATAAGCGTAAGCAGGACAAGTACAAATAAACTGGACAGGAACAAAACTCAATTCTTGATTCCAGCAACATCTGAAACATTTATAAACTTCCTTCTCCAGCTTTTTCAACCCATGACAATGCTTTCTCGCGTGTGGGTGGGCCAACTGCCTTTCAGCCCTACCCCACTGCAAATAAACACGCCCCACCCAGGTCACCAAGAATGATTATAAACCCCCCACTTCAGGGGACAATCCACCTGACAACAGGATTCAGCCTGCAAGAGGCTGTACGCCTTCCTGGGAGGCGTAGGATGGTGGGCACAGCCAGCCCCAGCCTCTTGGGTGATGGTGATGGAGGGTTGGGCTGGGGCAGGAAAGGGGAAAAGCTCTGTTGAGCATCATCTCTCATTTCAAATTAATTCTGCTGTACCAATGATTTCTGTACAGCCCATTGCGCTGATGAAATACCGCTCTCTCCTATTTTTGCTCTGAGTCATCAGCCCCATTTCAAAACTGCTTCATGAATCACACAATTCTTGGGAATTAAACTGTTTCTCCTCTGGTATAACGGCAGTAGCCAAAGCAATCCATAAACTCAGGAAGCCTACAGCAGCTTTCCAGCAGGACAACGCTCAACTCCCACTCTCTTACCAAGCTGACTGCGTTCCTAGTTACTACGGAAAGGCACAAGTCGTGTCCTTTACTGTAAGAAAGCTCCAAAGGGGACACGCTAACATCCTGCAATAGATCACAACTTTCTTGCAGAAGACAAAGCCTGCTTATTTAAATTAAGCAGTAAAAAGAACCCAAAAAGCACCCAAACGTACCCATTCAGAGGTCCTCCATCGTTGACTACGTTGAGGTGGGCCAGCTGCCTCTTCAGGTGAAGTTTGTAACTTGCGTTAATTCGTAAGAACAGCATCTGGAAGAAGAAACCACAGAACCAGGGTAAGGAACCATCCCCTTGCTTGTGTCACTGCCTGCAGAGAGGAAATGCATTGCCAACACCTGGAATCACTAACCTGCCGGTTTTGTTTTTGCAATTCATGTGATTTTTCCCTTCTGCCTCCTAATCCTTCTGGCCACGTACAATATTTAACATAGAGGATGCTACACACCCTCACTTGTTACGTGTTGCACTTAGAGGGGACATTGGAGCATGAATTTTTCCCCCCATTGTCTGAAGCATCCAGCAACTCGTATTAAGGCTAGAAGATAAATCTCTTTCCTGTTCTATAACCACTTAAAGTCTTTTTTTTTTTTTTTCCAAGAGAAAGAGTGAAAAAAGAGTTCAAAAGGATCATTTAATTTAGTGTAAAAGTGTATCCAGTCCTTCCTGTCCTTAGATTTACAACTCTGCAGTAGCAATAACTGCAGCAAAATACTGAAAAAGCACATCTGGTGCAAAATACACGTAGGGACCTTCGGAAGCCACTACCTTTGAGCACCATTCCTGAAGAATTCTCTCAAAGGGCTGCACTCGAGCCCCAAAGTATTGCCCTTTGTGCAGAATTTCAGCACTAATTCCTGATTTTCACCTCTCTAGACATTAAAATGCAGCTCAAAAGGCTGGAATCAGTCAGTTCTTTTCACATGTCTCATCGTTCTCCCTGCTCAGCCCAACACTTCAGTTCAGGCTGAGCTGTCTGCGTGACTGCTGCCAGCTCCTTTAATGTGAGTGTTTCCCAAAGACTCAAAAAAGCATTTCCTCCTCGCCCTGGATAAAGCAGAAGTCTCTCTTGTTACTGAGTTCATGTGTGTTTGCGAGGGAGGTGTTACATGAATCTCAAAAATAACATCTACCTGAGTTTGCTCCTCAGGAAGGAGATCGTATATAGCTTCATGCATCTTTGCCATCTGCTTGCAGATATTCCTGAAGCACGCTGAAGGAACAGGGGCTTTCACTTCATACTGCAAAGAAAAAACACAACCAGTTACCCCCTTTCTACCTCCAACAGTTTCTGTAGGAGAGATTCCAACAGCTGACTGAAGCCCTGGGTTGCTAATGACATCATGAATCCAAGGTTCATTTAGCATATTGCAAATTAAAACGGTTGCTGGGCATGATCTGATTCAGCCAAGGACTCACATCACACAATCCTCTGGCACTTCTTGCTTTATCAGCAAACAGGAACACTCAAAGCAGTATGAAGTGTGAGGATCTCCCAGCTTCATCTATTCATCTTTCTTACTTTGAATTGCTTCTCTTTGCTCATTTTTTCCATGACCCTGTGAATTATCGATGCAGAGAGAATAACGGCTGTGCCAGCTACACAGATGCACGCCACGGGGGCTGCTAGCTGCTCCTCTCCTTCAGATCTGTACGAGTCAGCGACAGACAAGCAATTCTGCCTCAGATGAATATGCCCCTCAAGTATTTCAGGAGAGAAACCTACTTCTCTAAGATCACATACATCCAACTTTCTGAAGAAATAAGGAAAGGAAAGCATAAAGAAATGTAAGCTCCTGAAAAGTCAATATTGACCATAAAAAACCCCAAACAAACAACAAAAAAAACCAACCCCACGACAAAAATTGCAGAAATACTTTGGAAAACAAAGTAGAAAACATCCCTTCTCCCAGTAACTGAGATCCAAGAAACACAACACTGGAAACCAGCAGATGGCAAGAGATTTGCTACTAAGGGAACAAAATTCTTGTGTCCCCACCCTGGTTAGGGAAGATCCGAATGTGATTGCAGCAGTGCTTTGAAAAACCACGCCGGGAACAGTGCAGCCAGCTTTTCTGCTCCTGGAGGAGAGGCTGTGCTCACACGGGCCCGGGTTAAACACGGGCACGTCGCCTTTGGTAGGGTGACACTTCCCCACAGAGCCTTTGCAGTGGAAGAGCTGAATCATTCTAACTAAATTATTCACAAACACATGGGAGCAGATGCTCTCTCTTAGGCTAGCCTGACTTGTGAAAGAGAACAAAGCTTGCCTGAGTGTGAGAGGAAAAAAGAAACGGGGAGTTTTGAGAAGGTCTTTAAGGGAAAAGCCAAACCAATGACCTAATTTTGACAGAAGTAGCAGAAAAATAGTGCTCACTGCTCCAGGAGCCCTGCTCCTCGCGTGGGACAACCCCACAGCACGCAGGATCGTGCCTCAAGACATGAGAGTTGGGCAAGAAATGATTTACAATTTACCAGTAGGCTGTGAAGCTGAAGGGAACTGGCAAAAGCTGCAGTGATGGCTCTCATATGACTCCAGACAAATCAAACTCTTCATCGTGATGGAGGAGAAAAGCAACAGCACCAGGGAGAAACACGAGCTCCAGCCCTGCAAGGTGCTGGCTGTTTTAATCTCCAGCTAAGGTCAACAGCCTGTGATATCACGAGGGATCAGACAAAAACTTACTGCTCTTCTGTCCACACAGTCACAAGACAGCAAGCTGAGAACCCACACTGGATTTTTTCCACAAGCATTTGTCCCTCTTTAAAAGCCTCCACCTTTTTCACTTGTTAGTTCCCGCTGTTGCACACCCCTGCTCCTGCTTTCACCTCCCTGCCAAAGTGAAAGGGCTGATGCAACTAACTTGTCCACCTTACCCAAGTGCCAGGTCAACGTCCCTTCTACTTGACCAAACCCTTTGTCTCCTTCTAGATTTGCAATATTTGTGTTTTAGAGCGTGCTGGATGCGCACTGCTATGACACTTGCATGTTTACTCACTGACCTCTACACGCTTTAAAGCAGGTGATCACTTTATCCACAAGACACTGAAATATCTGGACTCTCACAAAAACATACAAACCAAAGAACACACTGACATGGTTGAACTGACAATGTCCATTTGCAAATTCATAGAATCATAGAAAGGTTTGGGTTGGAAGGGACCTTAAAGCTCATCCAGCTCCAACCCTCCTGCCAGCAGCAGGGACACCTTCCACTAGACCAGGTTGCTCAAAGCCTCATCCAACCTGGCCCCTGGTTTTATGTTCTTTGCAGCCTCCAGTACCAAGATTTCATTATCACAGGAACAAGAGGAGCCAAATTATGGGGCATGTGTAGGAAAGGAAGCAAAGCACCACATGGTCTCCTTTCCTCCTGTGCTCTCTGGGTTGCATTCCGGTGAGCCAGGCACTCTCACTCCAGCCCTGAGGAGCTCTAAAGGACAGGAATATTCTCAGTTTAGGTCTTGTGCTGGCTCCCCAGGGGAGAATAGGCTGTAAAGATGGAAGGAGAGTAAGGAATGGATACTTACTAACTACCATCAGGAACAGAAACTGTGTTCCTGGTTTGTTGTGGGCTAACTTGTTTAGTATCAATAACCTAAATTCCTGTGATTGCCTTTTATTTTCAAGAGATAAGAGGTAAAGCGACCAAAAAGCCATGTTACTTCATAGAAGAGGGATTTTTACATGGGGGAAAAAAAGCCCCAAAAAAGCAAGAGATCACTATTGTGATCTTTAGAAAAGGGCAAAAATATGGTTTTTAAAGTGTAAAACCAACAGGGGGTGGGGAAT